CCCCACCCCCCAGATTAGTCTCAGCTTTTGAATTTCCTCAGGGGACACAAACAGGAGGATTGAGAATATAAATGGAGCCCTGGAACAGAGGAATGAGTGGTTGCCATTTTGACCTAAATATGCATGGAGTCCTAGTATCATCACTTGGGGTGTGCTATTGAGGGGGACAGATAATTTTCAGCCTACTTTCCCCACACTTAGGCCAGGAATGTGGGCATGATGAGTATAGTGAACTTTTGACCAGCAAGTTAACTAGGGATTGAGAATATAAATGGAGCCCTGGAACAGAGGAATGAGTGGTTGCCATTTTGACCTAAATATGCATGGAGTCCTAGTATCATCACTTGGGGTGTGCTATTGAGGGGGACAGATAATTTTCAGCCTACTTTCCCCACACTTAGGCCAGGAATGTGGGCATGATGAGTATAGTGAACTTTTGACCAGCAAGTTAACTAGAGAGAACAGAAGTTGGGAAATGACCACCATGGAAAAAGTATATAAACTCAATTATCCAGCAAGGTGCAGAGTTAAAAATGTGAAGAAAATTATATTAAGGGAGAAACAGAGGGAACATGCTAATAGTGTGTGAAAGTCAAAAACCTTATCCAGAGAGAAAAGATAAAGGAGAAAGAATAAACAGTCAGTTGAGGGCCAATGAGATGGCTCGCTGGCTTGTAGGCATTTGCCGCCAAGCCCTAACATGCTGAGTTTGGGCCCACGCGGTAGAAGGAGATAATTAAGTCCCACAGGTTCTCTGATCTCCATGCAGGTTCTGTGACTTGTGTGCAACCCCCGCCCCAAAGAAATGTAATAATTTTTGTAAATTAAAGTCAATGGAGAACAAAAACTCTTTAAGGGAAAGAGAACACAGTTTGAGACATTGGAGGGATCAAGGGAAGAGGCACTGGATAGAACCAATTTCTGGCCTAGCTGTGAGTTTTCAGATTACAGTGTCTCCAACCTTCAAAGTGGCACTGTGAAACACATAAGAGCCATCGGTCTCCCCCAGGCATTCTAATCTTCCCACATCTATAACTTAATGATCCCCAAACACACAGCTCAAGATGTCTCCCTGCTCACCTATCTGATGACTGATATGTTCATGGAATTCTCAGAGACTTCTCTACCTGGATGTTTTTCAAGAATCTCAGTATGAAACATATGGAACATTGCACATGCCATCCTTCCTGACACCAAACCTGCCTCCTCAACCGGTGTTCTCTAGCTCAGGATGCAACACTATTTCTCCATCTAACACAGGAACATTCTTGGGCAGAGTTGTGATGACTGCTCCTCCCCAAGGCAAACCAGTCATCTGATCTGGCCAATTCTGTCTGTTTTCTCTTTGCCTAACAGAAAAACCATATCAGATTTCTTCTTTTCCCTTTAGACTATAAAACAGCCCCAGATCCCTCCCCTCTGCCGATCTTGCTCTGTTACACCCATTCTGTCCAACTCAATGAATGATGCCCAGAAAAATGCAAGTTGGCTTACCCCGCTTTTCTGTATTAAACCTACTTCAAAGCTTTCAGTACCTTAAATTTTCTGGGTCCTTTTTTTCTGGAATCTTTTGCATTTACCATGACCTTTTATGGAACACAAAGGAGGAATTCTTTGACTCCTGTTTGGACCGGTCTGGCTCTGACTGGTAGAATATATGGGTTCCCTATTGACGTTTAAGTAGTAAGTACCAAAGAAAGACTGTCTTTCCACTCTGTGTTAAACACCCGCTGCTGCCATCTTTACTCATTGTACCCCTGCTTTTCTTGTTTGTCCTGGACTCCCTGGTTCCACCTGAACACCCTCATGTGTTTCTGGGTCCCTCGCCAGGTTTGTTGAGTGCTTGTTTTTCTCTCGTTTCTCTGTAGTGCTGGGAATTCTCAGATAGGTGACCAGGAAGCAAAGCCGGTGATGCCCGGCCAGCCCAGGTGCAATGGAGGATGCTTGGCCCACGTCCTCTCGCACCTGTCCACACTTCCTCCACCGTCACAAGCTTCTTTGTTGCAGCATTATGATCCCTAAGCCCGGTGCTCTTTGTTGACCTCAGATGGAGACAGATGCTGTTCCTGTGGATTTCTTTAGATTTCTGTGCCACCTGCCACAGGCACGAGCCTGTATCCTGTGCCTCGTCTCTGGTGATGGCATCAACACATCCAGGGATTGCAACATCCAGATCTTTCTTTCACACGTGGGCCTTCCACACACTGTTTTTGTGTTGAGTGGTGTTACCTCACCTCTCTCTGCCTCTTGTCCCTTTCTCTGATCTGATTCTATTACCCCATTCCAGGATGCCTTTCCTGTTGCCCAGGTAGAGAAACAGAGGAAGAAACAAATGAAATGAGAAAGTTGTTGGGGGTCAAGGTACAAGACTTAAAGATGGGAGAAGAACAGGAGACAGAAACACATCACAGAAGCATCTGGAGAAAACTGACTGCCAGAAACAAGGGCAGAGACAGACAGAATGTGCAGAGGTGGGGGACAGGGAGAGTGAGGTGTGTGGGGAGGAAGTAAGTGGGGGATGGTCCTCTGTCTTGGTGACAGTGACTGGAGTGTGTCTACCTGCACACCAGGTGAACTTGAAGGGCAGACCAGCAGGGCCTGGGACTGACAGGCTCACCCAGTGTTAGAAATAAAATCCAAGGTCCAAGGACCCCATCAGTTCTGCACAAAGAACACGTGGACAAGGGAAAGTAACTTGGCAAGGCAGATTTTACTTTTTCAAAATGGTGCATTATGTGGTTAGTCAGATCCAGTAAGCACACAGGACCTAGAGCTTGATAGGCTTTTATCCCTCATGCAAGAGCACTGTGTCCTTTTCCCATTGGCTGGGGTCCAACCTCACAGTCTCTCCTGGTTGGCTGTTTAAAAGAGTTAGTGCAAAGGAAGGAGAAGAGCTCCATTGGCCTAGGCCATCGGGTTTGGGAATACATCAAGGCCCTTCCTTAAACAAGTCATAAGGGCATGGTGGTTTTAAAAGATTAGACTTCCTTGTCATAAACCAAGTTCCAAGTTTTACAGGGTTTGAAAGAAAAGACTAAAATTTAATGTTTCTTACAAATCCCTCTTCTTATTTTCTTAAACACTCTTTTCTTCAAACTCCTTGAGAAGGCATTGGTATTCTTTCTTTTATACTGGGGAGTAAGAAACTGCCAGAGGGAGTAGACATTTGTTTGGTAAAAGCTTGACTCAATAAGCCAGAGTTAGGTCCCTAACACATGGTATATAATACAGTATCAGGACACCCATCGTGATTACCAAGGAAGTTAGCATAGAGCCCTTAACAGCTCTTCATTTTCCAAACCATTCGTTCAGAAGGTCAGAGAGTTTCCAACTTTTTAGTTATTTATAAAGTGCCTTAAGGCCTTGGAGTTACATTTGATTTGGGTGAGTTCTAGGGAACCAGAAGAATTTCTTGATGGGCTCACAAAAGCATCCATCCATTGGGTTCCTCTTTGTAGTCTTTTGACTTCCAAGGCTGGACTCCAGAGCAATGAACTCAGTGTTTGCTTTCAGGGACTTTGATAGTTGTTACAAACAGTGGCTAGAATCATAATGTGTTTCATCCCACATGGCTTCTAGACAGAGAGATAAAAGAAATTTAACTATCATTTAATTTTTAGGTTAAGATAATAGTGGGCTTATCTCTCTTAGCCGCAGTTAGGCACTGCAGTGTTGAGTTGGGTCAAAGTCTGAGGTCTTACATCTGAGTATCATTTTTTATATCAAGAAGAAAATCACTAGTGAAAATTGCCTAAACAGCATCTCATATGAACTTGAACCTAATGTCTGGGAAACAATCCTTTGGCCTCTTAAAGAAACATTTCGTTCCCTGTAATCTTTGGTTATACTTTACTTTTGGGTGTTTAAGATCATACTGTTGGTCCAAATTAACCAATTTTCTATTTTTTTCTGAAGGTCAGTTGAGGATCTGGTCCTTAGGGGTCACTTGGGGCTTTGGCCTTTTTCATACCAGTCGTTCCATCTGTGTGAGGATAAGTCAAAGGCCTTACTTGATCATGGTTTCACTCAGAAGCATTGAGGATAATTTCCTTCTGTGTTGACCCTCCTCTTTGTAGACAGGACACTGTCTCAAGTCCATTTGGTGGAGTCTCCATGGCCTCCCTGAACAAGAGGATAGGTGACTCACCAGTCACAGGACATTTCAAGAGGTACCCCCATAACCCCCTAGGACTTAGATCACTTTGGAGGACAAGGGGCAAAATGTCCCTTTAAATAACTAACCATATTAGTATAGGCCTCCAAGTATGGCTGTTAAACACCCAGGAAGGTAATTACATCAGTCTGGTACTTTGAATTGCTATATGATATGTAGATAAAGCATAAGTGAAAAAACCCAGAAACCCAAACGCTCTTTAATAAACCTTGACTAGACATATAGTTTGTTTCTTAAGCCAGTTGACTGAACTCTGACCTTAAAAATACTAAGATCATCTATATATTACCTTTAAGTCTCATCTTTCATTTATCTTTTTTTTTTCTTTTTTTGAGATGGAGTCATCCTGTAGCCCCAGTTTTCCTGGAACTCACCATGT